GGAGGAAAAAGCAATAGAAACACAAGTTTTCAAATGCTTGGCAGGAGCCCATGGCAAGATTAAAATAGTCTAAACCCAAATTGAGTGATTTTGTGTCAAATGAAGATTTCCTGTGGGTCCTAAATCTGCCCTAGAATCTTCTTGGAAATCATCATGCATCCACACTTTGCAAAGATTGAGGTAGTTTACTGGGCGCTCTTTCTAGAGATTCCAGACACGGAAGATGGATGGAAATGAAAGGTAGGGGGCATTCTGATTCAGGAACACCCCCCTTCAAGGTCTCCAAAGTCAAACACCAGCCAGGCACACAACCCTTTCAAACTTAGAGTGTGAAAATGGGTGTGTTTTTCAGAAACCATGGTGTACCTTTAAAAATATATATATATATATATATATATCTTTATTAATTTCAGAGAGGAAGGAAGAGGGAAAGAGAGACAGAAACTTCAATGATGAGAGAGAATCACTGATTGGTTGCTCTACTGGGGAGCAAGCCCAACTCAGGCATGTGCCCTTGACCAGAATCGAACGTAGGACCCTTAAATCTGCAAGCTGATGCTCTATCCACTGAGCCAACCGACTAGGGCCATGCTGTACTTTTTTTTTTTTTTTTAAGCAGTTTATATATTTTTTCCCCTTAAATATTTTATTTATTTCAGAGAGAGGAAGGGAGAGTGACTGAGGGATAGAAACACCAACGATGAGAGAGAATCATTGAATGGCTGCCCCCTGTATGCTCCCTTCTTGGGATCCAGCTGCAATCCTGGCAAGAGCCCTGATGGCCAGATGAGGGCCAAACAACTGAGCCACACCCGCCAGGGCCATGCTGTTCCACTTTCATCCAGCAGAGGGAAGTAGAGTGCCAAACAGGGCAGAAATATCCAGAACACTAATGTAGACACACACACACACACACACACACACACACACACACACACACTATTCAGCGTGATATTTGCTCTGTGATTTTTAGATTCCGAAGAATACTGTCACAGGATTAAAAATACATCTGGATGAAGCCAGCTTTGGACAAAATTAGGTAAATGTTGTAGCTTCTGCCACGCCTCAGGAGTCCCTGGGAGACAAGGTGCAGCATGAGGCCCTGTTTCAGGCTTGGCCTTCTGGCAGACTGGTGTTCCCATATATTGTCCATTCCCCAAGCTTTGAAACAACCTGCTAAGGTCATGCAATGTCTCTGTGGTCTTCTGAGTACAGGCTTTACGCAGTCTTTAAACTATGGCACTTTCTACATCAGCTAACAGGGATGGTCAGGTTCCTGTCCTCTCCTACTTGTTCCACAAAGTGGGAAAGAGTTCAGACTGAAGTGCAATCCATTGTTTAGAGTCATATAAACTCTTAATCATGCCAAACCTTGTCCTGGTCCAAGCAGGTTTCGGAAGTCCTGTCTTTCCCACCCACCCCACCCCCCTTCTTCAAATCTCTGCCTGGCTTCCCCTCATCAGAGGTGATGGTCTTTTGCTGATGCCATAGATGGAGAAAAGTTTTATTCATCACGCTTTTCTAGTTCCAAAAGTAGTTAAAAGCATTCTATGAACCTTTTAACTACTGTGCTCCTCTGGGAAAGAAAGGTTTTGAGCAGAGAGTACTCCTCAAATATAATAGAAACAGATGGCATGGAATGGCTTAAGCACGACTCACCCTTTCCAGCCCCCATGGGCTCCTTCATTACCCAACGTAGGGGATACAGACCCCAGTGCAACCACGCACTTAGTCCAAAAGGCTCTTCAAATTGTATTCTAATGCCACTGATTTACTTTTACCAAGAGAACAGAGAGAGGAGTCATATAGATGGTAAGGGTTTAGGTTGTCATTACGAATCAGCAAGGGTTTGGCTCAGTGGACAGAGTGTCGGCCTGTGGACTGAAGGGTCCCGGGTTTGATTCCGGTCAAGGGCACGTACTTTGGTTGCGGGCACATCCCCAATGGGGGGTGCAGGAGGCAGTTGGTCGATGTTTCTCTCTCATCGATGTTTCTAACTCTCTATCCCTCTCAATTCCTCTGTGTAAAATCAATAAAATATATATTTAAAAAAAAGAGTCAGCAAGGATTCCAGTGACACAGCATCAAAGAGTAGAGAGGCATCTTCTTGCTCTGAAGTTTGAACTTGCCAACTTGAAATATTATCCCAGTGACTGGCTTCCATCCTAGGCCAGTGGCTAAAACATAATGCAGTGAACAGCTACTTGAAGGTTATCAGTAACTTCAACAATACTAATCATTAATATTTTAGAAAATGTATTAAATGCCTGTATTACAGTAATATAGCAATAGAAAATGAAAACTTAAAAAAGGTTAAAGGGGGGGCACAAGAATAGGAAACAGAAGTAGTAAGGGGAAAGAAATAGTAAAAAAGAAAATCTTTGGGCAGGGTGTGGCAGATAGCCACCAATAACCTTTCAAATGTCACTAATGGATTCATGTCCGAGGCCCCTGAGGTCCACACCCATTTTTAAAATCCAACTGGGGCAGTGGTCAGCAAATTCGTCAACAGAGCCAAATATCAACAGTACAATTGAAATTTCTTTTGAGAGCCACTTTAAAAAATATATATTTTATCATTTTTTTACAGAGAGGAAGAGAGAGGGATAGAGAGTTAGAAACATCGATGAGAGAGAATCATTGATCAGCTGCCTCTTGCACACCCTCTCCTGGGGGATGTGCCTGAAACCAAGGTACATGCCCTTGACCGAAATCGAACCTGGGATCTTTCAGTCCGCAGGCTGACGCTCTGTCCACTGAGCCAAACTGGTATCTGCGAGAGCCAAAATATTTAAACTTAAACTTCTAATGCCACTTCTTCAAAATAGACTCACCCAGGCCATGGTATTTTGTGGAAGAGCCACTCTCAAGGGGCCAAAGAGCCGCACGTGGCTCTTGAGCCGCAGTTTGCAGACCATGGAACTGGGGGATTTGTCCTGACAAGCAGCAATAACACTAAAGCTGATATCTGTATTGACAATAACCTATTCATGACATGGGAGATATGCCTTCTGTGTAAGACTTGCTCTCTATCATGTTCTTAAATTGGCTTACAGTTAACCTAGAAATAAAAAGGCCTTTCAACATGAGGCACAACAAGCACTTATTGACATAAATAAGAATAGTTATTCAGAAATCATTAACAGAGGCAGAACTCCAAGTAATGTTCCAACTAGGAGACAAAGGCAATGGGTGTTTGTGAGAAAGGGAAGGAAAACAATTACATCAAAAGAAGGAACCCATTTCTATTGGTGCAGATGGTAACCCTAAACAATGTTTTTAATTTTTTCAGTCCAGTAAGTCAGCAGTTTAGTGGGCATAACAATCACTTTCTTGTTATCTTTTCTAACAGTTCCTTTTGCAAGGCCCAGTGTTGCTTAGATCCAGTCCAAAGGATATTTTGCCCTGTTTAACACTCCAATGATTTGGGACAAAAGACCTGCAAAGCAGTTCCTCTGACGTGGCAGTTACAGCTCCATTTTAAAATGGCTCTGTTTATATTATTGTTTACATGAACAGAAACAGCTGTTATAAAAATCAGGTTCCTGGGCTCCATTTCAGAACTAATGAATCAGCGACTGGGTTGGGCTGGTCTGGGTCCAGGGTTTGGTTTGCTTTTATTTTTAAGCTCGTTGGTGCTGATAAATAATTTTTTTTTTTTGTCTTCTTGCAGTGGTGTTAGGAGAGAGTTACATTTTATTTTAAGAAATAATTTCATCAAGTTTTATAAAAAGCTCTGAAGGTGAGAATACATATAGTCCCGAGAGTATTTCACCTCACTTATTGCTAGTCTTCTGACTTAGTTTTCTCTTTGAAGATGTGTTTCCCCTCGTGGTTCTGTTCTTTCCATTGCTGCCACAGGCAGGCATAATCTAGAGATCAGAATAGAGATGAGCATCTGTAGGTCTTCAGCCAACCAATATCAAGTTTCCTGAAGCAAATATGCAAGGCCCTGCCTGCAAGAGTTGAGAGGGTGCAGAACTGCAGGGATTGACAGTAAAATAAAGAAAAGCCAATGGGGAAAAACAGATAATGCCAGTGGGAGGATTAGGGGCAACAAGGTTGCATTGGTTCATTGAACATCCTTTAACTGCATAAAGACAGTCATGAATAATCCAGAGCTCCTGCCCCCAGGAAGCACCATTGGGGTAGGTAACATCCTTTTTTGTTACCAAAGATATTTTTTTCTATCGATTTTTTTTTTTTTTTTTTTTTTTTTAAAGAGAGAGTGAAAGGGAGGCAGAGAGAGAAAGAGAAAGACATTGATTGGTTGCCTCCTGTGGGCGCCTCAACTAGGGCCACAACCAGGTCCGAGGATGGAGTTACTTGTCCTTGACTGGAATCGAACAGAGACCTTTCAGTCCATGAGCTGACACTAACCGCTAAGTTACCTGCCAGGGTTCTTTTTGTAAAAAATTATTTTTTTCAATTGCAATTTACATTCCATAGTATTCTGTTATCAGTTTCAGATGTTACAGCAGAGACAACCATGTACTTTACAGAGTTGGTCCCCCGGTATTTCAAGAATCCATCTGGCCACACACACATAGTTATTAGGTTTTAATGGCTATCTATTCTCTATGCTGTGTAATTTACATCTCTGGGACTATTCTGTCCACTTCCACTTCAATGGGACCTGCGCCCTTTCCCCAGCGCCGGGAGGAAAGAGCCCTGGCGCTCAGGGGAGTGGGGAGGCCTGGGGAGGCGGGGAGGAAGGACCTTCCCTTGGACTTCGACTCATCTACGCCCGTTCTGGCCCTGCCTCCCCTCCATCAAACCATCAAACTCCTCCCACACCGTCTCCCCCCACCGTCACCCGGCGACCCCGGGCACCCAGAGGGGCGGGGCCAGTGCCGCGACGCCTACTAGCCACGCCCATTTCGTGAGGTCATCTTATCGCGAGACCGCTGAGTCCCGCCGCTGCATCACGCGCAGACCCGTCGCTCAGCGCCAGCGTCTTGGCATTTCGCACGCAGGTGCCCGCGCAGTTTGGTGTCGCCATGGAACGCCGGGAGACCCACGATCGCGGCACGTCGCCCGGGCAACCGGGGACGATAAAGCCCTTCCAAGGCGGCGGCGGCGGTGTAGCGGATGCCATGATGTCCAACCCCGAGCCTGCTCTGCCCCTTCTCCCGGGCACGTCCTGTGCGGACCCCACGGTGAGGACCCAGCCGCTCAACCCCCACCTATGGCTACCGGCCCCCCCACCCCATCCCCCTGCTGCCCGCCCCCTCCGGAGGCTTTGCCGTTTAGGGCTCCTCCTTCACCCGATTGTTCTCTCTGCCCTTCAAACCCGGTCTCTGCCCTTCGAACCCTGCCCTGACCCTGTTCTTACCACGATTCTGTCGCCCCCTCCCCCCTCCCCGCAACACGCAGCTGCACCCTCCCTCTCATATTCATTGTCTTCCTCTCCGTCCCTTCCTGGTTTTCCCACTCCACCTGTTGGCCTCCTTCGTTCAGTCTAATTAGCGTAGCCAGGGTCTTCCTTGCTGCTCTAGCCTCTGCTTCTCGCTCTAGATCCGTTTCTCCCCCTCACCCCCAAGCTCTCTGTCTAGGTCCCCCCTTATTCTCCCTCACGGTACCCCTCTCTGCGCAGCTCCATCCTTCACCACTGACCTCCTCCGCACCAGCCTCGGCCGCTTCTCCCACTCAGCATCCCTACGCCGTCATCCTCATCCCCACAGCCACACCCCGCTCTCTCCCCAGGCCGGTCCTCCCCGCCGCCTCCATCTTCTGGATCCTGGACCTAGTCATCCTCCTCACTCGCAGCTCCGTGTTCTGTCTTAAAGTGTCGTTTCCACGCATCCTCTTCTTTCTACCCCGTTCTTTTCCACAGTCGGCAGGCTTCCCATTTATGCTTCTGCACAGCTCCCTTCCCTTTTCTGGCCAGCTCTTCTGCCTTTTCTATAATTTGCTCCCATCTTCTCCCCATTCCTGTATTAATCTTTCTCAATTGTTTCTCCAAAATTTAGGCCTTGAACAAAGGCCTGTTTTCCTTCCAAAGCACCCTTCCCTGCTTTGTAGAACATAATCCCATTCCAGTCCCTTCAAGGCCGCCACAATTGATTATTTTTTTTCTACCCCTAGCCCTCTTAATAGTCGCTCTAACATTTTGATAAAATATTCATGTTTAGATTTTGTTTTGCCCTTTCCTGACTTTAAATGTATTTAATTGCATTTTCTAGACAAAATTGAAGAGAGAAGAAAGTTTTTTGTTTTTTTCCCCCCCCTCCTAACATAGTTTAGCCCTTGACAAAATTATTTAGTATTTGTTTTAATTCTAGTAGGGTGACTGAAATATATGTTGGAAGATCAGTATTGAGATTCAGTAGGCTGATTCTCATAGGTGAGACAATAACAATTTATATTTATATAGTTGACTAAGCTCTAAGTTCCTCTCCATGGTCATAAAGGTAAGATAAAATACAAAGTCAATTTATTTTGGGGGCGGGGAAATGAATTGAAAATTTGATGAGGGAATTTGGATCCCGAATCTGTTTTTAAAATTACTCCTGCATTAAGACACAGCATAATAGATTTTTCTCTGCGTTGTAGGCACATTCCTGCCCATGTGCAGGAGCAGCCTAAGCATTTGGTGTTGGGAGTGTGGGTTACCCACAAGGCAGGGTTGAGTTGATATGGGGGATTGATAACAGAGGTGTGACTGGAGGCTCTAAGAACATACTGCTGTAATATATGTAAGTGAAGTATGCATTGGACATATTTCATATTTTATATATCTTGGGCAAATATCAACTCATTTGCCTTATTTGGAATTTGAAAAACATGGTTACTATCGTCAGCATTGAAGGACTACATACATATATCTCTCACAGCATTCAAAACCATAATGACTAAGCAGGATGAGGGGCCCTTAGTTTTCCTTGCTTGGGATGCCTGTGAGGATCCACTAATGAAGGCCATATGTTGAGAGGTGTTAGTGGTGTGTATGTAAAGTGGAGAAAGCAAATGAAGCAGCTGATTTGTGTCTGTCTGTAGAGGTGAAAGAGGAGGAGCTTGAAGTTACACAAGTTACCTAGAAAAGAAGTCACCTCAGCCCATTTTGTTCTATGTCATTATTATTATGCATCTGGAGCAGCACTTGTCAGCTGACTTATGACTCTGAATGTGTGACCTTAAAATAAAATTCACAATTCATAACTCTTCTAGCAAGGGTAGTTTACTTTATTGTACCTTTTGTTAGTACAGATCTTGGAAGATGGTAAGTTGGGCTGCAAACAAATTAGGAGGTAGATAAGTAAGTCATCCTATATAATCCTATATTATAAAGAGCTAATGTGCAAATGGTCATCACACCTTCATGCCATAACAGCTCACACACAACACTGAAAGAGAGGAATGGGGACCAGCCAGCCTGTGGCCTGGGAGAGGGACAAGCCACCTGCCCTGCGGTCCTGGGCGCCTGCAGCTGGCCCCGGGCAAAGCCGGCCTGGGTCCTGGGTGCCTGTGGCCATCCAGAGGGAGGAAAGCCTGGGTCTCAGGTGCCTGTGACTGGCCGGAGGAGGGAATCTTGGGTCCCGGGTGCTGAGCGAGGCAGAGGCTATTAGGGGCGATCAGGCCAGCAGCGGAGCATTTAGGGGCAATCAGGCAGGCAGACAAAAGTGGTTAGGGGCAATCAGGCAGGCAGTGGTTGTTAGGGGGATGGGCGGACAGGCAAGCAGGTGAGTGGTTAGGAGCCAGCAGTCCTGGATTGCGAAAGGCAGTTGGACATCCCCCCCAACACCCAAGGAGTCCTGGATTGTAGAGGGTGCAGGCTGTGCTGAGGGATTCCTGTCCCCTGCACAATTTCATGCATTGGGCCTCTAGTTTTATTTAAAAAGATATTTTATGATTTATTTTAAATTTTACGTGTATATGTGTATGTGTATTTTTTGTGTATATATACAGGTATACACACACACATATTCATATGATTTTGGAAGTAGCCTACCATTACAAAGAACAGAAAAAGGAAAAAAAATATTCCATCAAATTAGCCTATAAATTTTCTTTTCAACTTTATCGAGATATAATTGATACATAGCATTGTGTAAATTTAAATTGTACCACTGGTTGATTTGCAAAATGATTTTGCAAAATGATTACCATCACAGTTTCAATTACTATGGTTTTGTAATATACGAACTATAATTGACCCTTGAACAACTCAGAGGTTAAAGGCACACACGTCCTGCACAGTTGAAAATTTTCATATAACTATAGTTGGCCCTCTGTATGGCTTTCTAACCACAGAATTGACCTTGAACACAACCGGTTTGAACTGCAAGGGTCAATTGAAAAAAAAATTCACATGTAAATGGATCTGCACATTTCAAACCTAATGTTGTTCAATGGTCATTATAATTTGAAATCAGGAAGGGTAATGCCTCCAGCTTTGTTGTTCTTTCTCAGTATTGCTTTGGCTAATAGGGGTCTTTTGTGGTGCCATACAAATTTTAGGATTTTTTCTATTTCTGTAAAAACTGCTATTGGAATTTTGATAGAGATTGCATTGAATATATAGATTGCCCTGGTTTGTCCGGTCTAATTAGCATATTATGCTCTTATTATTATAGATTGTTGTGTTCAGATTTTCTATTTCTTTATAATTCAGTCCTGGTAGGTTGTATGCTTCTAGGAATTTATCCATTTACTTTTAGTTATCCAGCTTGTTGGCATATAACTGTTAATAGTAGTCTCACCAAAAATATAGATTTTTCTTCCCTTTCAATGCATACATTTATTTATTGCTACAAAAATTCCCTCTTAGAACTGTGTTCGCAGCATCTAAATGGCTTTCATAGTTATGCTTCTATTTTTGTTTCAAGATTTTTTAAAATTTCTTTTTGATTTCTTTGTGAATTTTCCAGCTTGCTTTCTGTTATTTCATATCATTGTGGTCAGAAAAGATACTTGGTATGATTTCAATCTGCTGAGACTTGTGACCTATCATATGGTCTATTTTGAAGAATGTTCTATATGTTCTTGAGAAGATTGTATATTCTGCTATTGTTGGATGGATTGTTCTACATATGTCTGTTAAGTTCATTTGATTTAAGTATAGTTCAAGTCTAACATTCTCTTGTTGATTTTCTATCTGATTGATCTATTCATTGTTGAAAGTGGTAGTATTGAAATTCCCTACCATTACTCTTTTCTGTTATTTAGTTTTTTTGTTTTTTGTTGTGTGTTTTTTTGGGGGGAGGGGGAAAGCGGGGTTATATTCCTCTCTTCAAATCTTTTAGTATTATCTTAATATATTGGGGTGCTCTGATATTGGTACATAAATATTTATAATTGTTATATCTTCTTGATAAATTGGCCTGCTTATTATATAATGACCATCTTTGTCCCTCATTACCATTTTTGGCTTAAAGTCTGTTTTGTCCGACATAGTACAGCTATCCCTGCTTTTTTTCCATTTCTTCTGCATGGAATATCTTTTCCCATCCCTGCATTTTCAGCCTGTGTGTGGCCTTAAAGCTGGAGTGAGTCTCTTATAGGCAGCATATAGTTAAGGTTTTTCTCCTACTCATCCAGCTTGCCTTTTGATTGAAGACATCAATTCATTTACATTTGGTGTAATTACTGATAGATAAGGAGTTACTAATACCATCTTTTGTTGTTGTTATTGTTAATCTTTACTTGGAAGTAGTTCCAAGTAAAGATTATAGTTCAATTATAGTTCAATTATAGTTCAAAGATTATAGGTCAATTATAGTCCGTATATTACAAAACCTTAGATGAGGATTATTTTTTCATTGGGGGGCGGAGGGAGGGAGGAAGGAGGAGAGAGAGAGACAGAGAGACAGAGAGAGATGGACATGAGAAAAACAACACATCTATTGTTTGCCTCCTTGCATGTGCCCCAGAGCCAGGGATTGTACCTGCAACCCAGGTACATGTCCTTGACTGGGAATCAAACTTGCAACCCTGTGGTTTGCTGGCCAACACTCTTAACCACTGGGCAATACTGGGCACTAATACTGTTTTTTGTTTTTCTGACTGTTTTTTAGTTCTCTTGTTCATTTCTTCCTCCCTTGCTGCTTTTCTTTATGAATTGATGATTTTTTGTAGTTGTATGCTTTGATTCCCTTCTTATTATCTTTTGTGAATCCACTGTAGTTTTTTGCTTTGTGGTTACCATGAGGCTTACATA